CATAACTTAAGGTGGACATACATCCTTAATAGAACTGTCGAATAACACTTTGATTTTTTTGGTTCATAGTGCAAGTTCCACAAGGGTATAGTCAATAGAGAATTATGAGAACCAAAGTCTGAAGTGAAGTTGAGAGGAGATTTCATTAGTATAGTCTTTATACTATAACTAGTGAGTTTTTCAAAACAAATAGAAGAAAGGAAGACCAAACAATCCAAGTATAAGATGGTTACAGACCAAACAAATGTCAGGTACATATTAAGTTAGTGATGTCAAGTTAAGAAGGATGTAGTTTTGAAGATGGTTACAGATGAATGATTCAAGAAGTGCAGATAGAGTACCAAACTTGGTTTTGGTTGTTGTAACAAATGGAGTTCTACTTTGACAGTGGGATGACATGGTTATGGACTTTGTTACTCTTCATCAAGATGAATAAAAGAAGCATGAAGTTATTAATGTAGTTTGGAATAAGGGTGAATGAAGAGTGTTAACTTTTGAAATAGACAGAGTTTTGTGTGATCAAGTAATTGTGTAGTACTTCAAAGAGGATATAAGATGATGTGAAGGCTTTAGTTTGATTCAAGGCCAACTAAAGTTTTGGAAATAACTTATAAGAGGTAGTGGAAGACATTTTGGAAGTAGTTTAGTTTAACAGATATAAATTGTTTGATCTGGCGTAAAAAGGATCCTTAAAAGCTTAAGTTTGGAGGTAGAAATGGTTTTAAGAGTAGTGGTTAGACCAATCTACATTGTTGAACATTAGAGCATTTAGCACAAAGGCAATATTTTTAGTCAATTAAGTGTTGGGGATAATATCTTGGTCAAATTTTTCTTTCTACTTGATGAGTAAATTTTCGAGGAAAAATTTTTCTTATTGGAAAGAATGTAAAGACCTAGACTAGGATATTTTAGAGGTGGTAGTGGTTGGAAAAATAGCGAGACATGATTATTTTTAATATTAAATGGTTTTAATAAAAATAGTTTCGTTATTAATGAGTTTCATTATTTTAAAATACAAAATTTTTTAAACCAATTTTTCTAGAGTTATCTAACTTCTTTCTAAGAGTCCTCGCGGTGAGATCTTCAAGTCTAACCAATCAATTTTTCAAATAGAGTAAGTTAGTGTTTTGCTCCTTTTTTTTTGGGTTTTGTTGTTTCTTCCTTGCATGCCAGTCCTTTTTGTTTTGCATGTGAAGTTTGAGTCTTCTATAAGACTATCTGTTGTTCAGTGGTCCTAACGATGTACCCTGATCGTGCTTTTGTAGTTTGTAGGAGCATATAGAACTTTATGTGCTTTAAAACTATTTTAGGCTTTTTAGAGCGATTTTCTCATCTATCAAGTAAGGAAAGCTAAATTACCCCTGAGTTAAGTGTATGGTGTATTGAAAATCTAAGTTGCATGTTTGAGTTGCTTGAAATTAGTTGAAATGTTGTATTGGTGTTTGTGCTGATGAAATATGACATGTTGAGTTGAGATAGAGGCTTTGAATCGTTTTTAGTGATTGAATGTTGAAATATTGGTATACTATGTGATTGAGATTGCTCTAAGGTTGAATTAAGTCATTGTTTGTGTTTAATATAATGGTTGGTTGTTTTTAGCACCTAGAATTAGTGTTAGATTGTTTGTGGGATTGAAATGATCATAAATCTAAGAATTATGTTCTCTAGAATTATGCAAACTCCGTTGACAAGTATAATACTCACTAAACAAAGTCAAATTAAAGAGCTACTAACTTGGTGGAGCGAAATCAATTTTACCTTTTGTAATTAATTAACATTTATATAATTATTATTTAATACTATTTTTATCTTTATACAATTTTTTATAATATTTTATTAATTTTCTTACATAATATTATATATGTACTTTTTGTGATATTTATGTTTTTTAGGAATTATTTAAGTGAAATGACATCTATCAAGCCCCACGATGATCTCATATCGTGCTTTAGTTTTAGAGGTGAAGATAATAATTTTATACCTTTTTTAGAATAAAAGTTTTCAAATAAATTTCTATACTTTTTTTATTTTCAAAATTCTATAAATTTCAATTAAAAGATTCTATTATTTTTTATATATATTTTTTTTTACTTTTATGTTTTTATTAAATAAACTTTTTTTAAAAAATTTAATACTTTTTTATTCTAAAATTTTTATAAACTTTAATTAAAAGAATTGATATTTTTAAAAAATTTATTTTTATATTAATATTAAAGACAAAAGTTTCTGAACACATTTTTTTATATTTCTATTGTTTTAAATAATAGTTTTTATGTTTTTTTTTCTAAATAAAAAAAAACTGTGTATAACTAAGTGTTTATAATCATTTGCGGATGGGTCTATTACTAATAATAAATATATAATTAGGATGGTAAAACAAATTAATTTATACTATTTAAATCCAACTTACTAGTTTGAAAAGCAAGTGTTAATAAAAAATGAGTTGTCTTATCCAAATTTTTTTTTTAATGTAATATCCATAAAAATTTACATACACGAGAAATTTCCCAAGTGTTAGATTATGTTAATAAAGTCAGATAAAATGTGACTGTACGAATTCCAAATTTTTGTAATAAGATTAGACTGTGAGGTCCAACATGACCTCCAAGTTGACTGGCCACTTAACAAACACGTTTTTATCATTTATAGTGTTATGCACTACATCCAAAATCAGTACTATTGAAACAAGTTTCAAAAGTACTTATATTGATTATTGTAGACCACGGTATATAGACTAAATAAATAATATAAAACCCATAGTTAACAGACAAAAAATAATTACATTATAAAATATAAGGAATAATACTTCATCTAAATTTATAATATATTTATGTCAAAGTTTTAAATGTTTTAAAAAATAATTTCAATAATATTAACATAAATTCTTTAAACTTTTAAAAATATAAGTAATTAATAATTTTATTTAATATTTTGTAATATTAAAATTCATATCATCAAGTTTGAAATTCAAAATATATAACAATAAAGTTCAAATTTAATATTTAAAATTAAAAAAGAAACTTTAAGAATGTTGTAAAAAAAGTTTGAATCTGAAATTCAAAATAAGAAAAAAATCGGTAATGAATTGTTTTAAAAAATAGGTAATGAATTATTTTGATGTCTGTAAATAGGTAATGAATTATACAAAAGTTATTGAAAGACATAAAAAATATTTGATTATTCTTAATAATATAATAATATATCATAATATATAATAATATTTAATAACAATATAATAAGATAATATCAACAAAAGTTAAGATATGATATAAAATAATAAAAAAGTTTGAATATTGACATCAATAATAAACTAAAAATAAATGAAATATTTAAAAATATGTGTTTTTTAATTTAATTCTATATAATTGCATTTTTTAATAAAGTTAGTGATTATTCTAAGTATTTGTAAAACTTGATTTCAAACAATAAATTAAATATAAAAAGTTTGAAATATAAATTTTTGATAAAACATGACACGTTGTCCTAACCTTTATTTTTATTTTTAGATTTTGTATACATGGGATTTGGTCTTTGGTGAATAGGTTTAAACATTTGAGTGGTTTAAAGTATGCATTTACAGTTGTCTTTATAATTGTACAATTCATCCGTACATTTTTTATAGTCTTATGTTATACTGGTAAAAAATCTACGTCAACAAGGTTTAAAGGAGTTAGTCCGGGGTTAGGTATTAACAAGTTTACACTTATTTTTATATTGTCTAAATAGGGTTTCATTTAAAATGATTTTAATTCTTAATTTTTATAACTCAAGTCGTAGTTAATAATAGTAGATACAAGAGTATAGTTAGGGTTAAAAAGAAGAAAGAACTTAACTAGTTTTATTGAAAAAACAAAAAGTAATATACGTATATTAATGTTATAATAAAAATTATTTCAACATTAAAATTTCATTGTATTAAACTTAAAATTCATATAATCAACTATATTATAATTTGTTAAAGTCCCTATGCATATGTTGTGTGGACCTCTTATCAAAGAGTGGCGAGAAACAGTGAATGACAGTGGATCCATTGCATTTATGAAAGTAGTCAAATCATATGGGGATCCTCTTGTTGATCACATCACACTAAGTAGACACTTCAACCAGTTCGTTCTAACATAACTGATGGATTATTTTATGAAAGTATGACATGAGTTTTAACGTTATAAAAGTTTGATGCCATCTTTATAGGTTTACAGGTTTATAGTTATTTTATTTTATATAGTATTTAATTTTTTTATTTTTAAATAATATAAAATTTTGATTCACATTTAAGATTATTTGCAAAATCCTTAATATAGTGTTTATTACATATTCCTTCTGTTAGTTTTGTTATCTATATAATGGAAAAAGTTTGTCCTTTTGAACAAACAAAATATACGAAAACCTAACCATCGACGCGTTCTATAAGTACTTAAATGGGGTCATATGTATCCATCCTCGTCGTACTACTCTCTACGTCATATGAGGTCTGACATCCTGACCAGACATAATAATCTTAACTCTTAAACTCCTTACACTCAGTTGACGATCTTAGTCCTGATTTAAAGTTCGGTATTATGATATATTTTTATATTTATTTAAGATAACACAAAAATAAAATATTATAAAAAATGTAAAATTTTATATATAAATTTAAGAAAAATGAGAGTAAAAGGTAAAAAATAATAATGTCAAATAAACTTAAAAAATTTAAATGTGTGAAATAATATATTACAAAATGGATATGGACAAGAGCACCTTCCACGAAGCTTAGCTCACCTTTATATCCGCGTAAGACACAGTATTTAATCACACACTGAATAGAAGAAAGCAGTTCAGCATCCTTAGTTCTAGTTTTAGCATGGAAAAACATGGTGAGGAAGAAGAGTTTGTTGGTTTCAGCTACGATGTGTTTGATTAATTTTAGAGGTTGAAGATGCTGGGAACAATTTTTGTAGGAACATCTCCGTAGAGAGTTGGGTAGTGAGGGAATAAACACATTCAATGATGACAGAGATATGAGGATAGGGAAAGGTCTTTCACTTGCTCTGTGTGAGGCCATTGAAGAATCTAATATTTTCATAGTTGTGTTTTCTGAGAACTATGCATCTTCCACATGGTGTCTGGATGAACTTGTTGAGATCATGGAACGCACCCACAAGAACAGTAAGCAAGTTGTTTACCCAGTGTTCTACCATGTAGATCCCTCAGATATACGGAAAATCAGAAATAGTTTCGAAAAACACATGACGGCACACGAAAATGAGATTGGAAAAGAGTCGCAGAGAATACAAGCTTGGAGGTCTGCTTTGTTTGAAGCAGCTAGCTTGCCAGGGATGCATATTCCCACCGGGTATGTACATCAACAATTTNTTTTTGTTAAATGATAATGACATCCACTTTTTATTCATGTTGTTATCATATGTTTATGATGTTTAACAAAGTTGCTTTCTGATGTTACCTTTGCACTTCCTTTAACAACAGCAACCCATATGAAATTACATTAATCAAATAAGACAGTATTAAGAAGTCAACTTTATATTTAAAACAGGCAGACAACAACATTCTATTTCAAACATCCTTCCAAAGATCAAATTACATTCATATAAACCTACTTTCATCTACTTTCATCAACCAAGTTTCATCAACATTGATATCACAATTACATTAAAAACAGATGTAACAAACACCATGCCCATTAAAATCTTCATCCTTTTCTCCAAAATAACTACACTTTTCTCCAAACACCTAATTCTCAGCTTTTCACCATCTCTTTCTTCCATCTTCATCACACTTTGTTCGATCTTCATCAAACTTCTACCCACTTCTTCATTCCTTGCACTTGCACTACTGTCTTATAAATTCACCACATTTCGAGAATCAATTACTTCTTCAATGCACCACTCAAAAAAGTTGCATCCAACAAAATCTTCACTCCCAACTTGTGGAACAACAAAACACACTCCCTCGTCACCGAAATCAAAACTCTCACCCTCTGGAAAATCAAAACCATACAATAACTCACAAAATTGCTTCCATTAAACTCACCTTGAAGTTAGGGCAACCCCAAAATCTTTTGCCCTTGTTTTTAGGGGTTCTGACAACGCGAAAGACTGAAGGCCGACCACAAAAGCAAATGGGTTTTACACCCAACCTGCTCCCACTAACAAAGCTATTTTGAAAACCCCAACCCGTGCATTTGCAAGACGAAGAACAACCAGACATTTCGTCACTTCAACACTGCTTCCACAACTCTTCCTAACGAAAACAGAGATGTTAAACACTTTCGAAATCAGGGTTCTCTCTAAATATTAACTTTTATGGCTAACACATCACACGTGGCAATCTATTCACACAACACAACACCAATGAAATTCAATAAACAATTTCTCGTCAACTAAAACATATTACACCTCAGCAAAGACAAACGGCATTACTGAAAAATTAATAGAAAAAACTTAATTAACTCATTTTAACAAGTTTAAAGACCCAATTGAGACAAAAAAAACATAATGACCCACTTAAGATTGACACACATGTACGAGAAAGAAACTAGGGTTTAAACCAAAAAAGTAAAAATAAAACAAGTGTCTACAAAACCAAGTTCCAGTAGTCGGTTACGTACAGGAATATTTTAACATCAAACGACGCTTTTCTCAAGACAGTTCCTCTAATCAATTGTAAATTTAACGTAAATTTAGACAAAAAGTGACTTTTCCTCTATATATTCTTATTCTCAATAAAAAATTGAAATAGTGTGTCTTTTAAAAAAACAAACTTTTGTTTTAAAAGCTTTTTACAGGTCCAGAAAACAAGGATTAATCTTTCTCCAACATATTTATTAATAATGAAAAATCAGAATTATTTAATTAGATAATAAATTGGTTGATGTTTTTAGTTTTAAATTTTTTATACAGTTTTAGACTTGTAAGGCTTTTTATAATTCACGCCATTTGGAGTATAAGATAATGCAAGTAACTATGACATCCTTTCAAATTAATCATACAATAAACAGAGAGAGATGGTCTAAATTATGGAAAATGATACTTGAACAATCATTTTTGACAACATTTAGACACGCGCACACGTGTCAAAATCTGAGTGGTCCATTTTCATTTAATTTTTCCAACTGGACCACTCAGATTTTGACACGTGTGCGCGTGTCTAAATGTTGTCAAAAATGGTTGTTAAAGTGTCATTTTCCCTAAATTATACATCAATATTATACATCAAATGACTATTTTTAGATTTAAAGACGAGATGGCAGTGATACAAATATCTAAAATTAATTTAAAATATAAGTAGATATCAATTAACACTATATATGAGATTACACGTATAATCATATATATGAATATGTATATATAATATAACAGTGTAGAATTATAATTGGAACTTATGGTCCGATACACAGGAAATATTGTGCTCCACACAAATAGTGCACAGAATAAGTATTTAGGCACTTAATACAGCATGGCATGGAATTGAGCAGTAAATTTAACTCCA